CAGACTTGGGTGCTAATTCTAATGCTAATAATGTAGCTAATGGGGATCAATGTCCTTGATATTAAACATATGATATCCATTTGTTTGTTTGTCCATGATCACATCATCCACGTAAACTAGGATTCGAAATTTATCAACAAATAGGCTTAGTAATAAACAGAAAGCAATTTCCTCCCCCTATAGCTTTACGTACAAAAAGGGCAAATACTACTCTCCACACATGAACACGATCCATGGTATGTGCGCGCCTGACCAGTCGCTGCCGCCATCATTTTGGCATGGAAACCAGGCTACAGCAACAATTTACAAAGGCAAAATGCTCTCGATCTCAAGCCCTCCTTTCCTTTCCCTTTCAGCCATACTTTTTCCCCGCTTTGCCACCATCTTTCGATCTAGTGGAAGCCCCCCTAAAAAGGGCAGAGAGATGGGAGGGAGAGGGATAAGAAAGTGGAAGAATCAAAAAGACCAGCTTTAACTTTTATTCTTCTTTAAAAGAGGCTCCTCCCTGGCTTCTTTCATTATTGAACACGAGCCAGTGTGCCGGTTTAGCAAGTGGAATGGTTCAACCGGTGGCACATACCGGTTTGTGCTGGTTCATGCCGGTCAATATTACAAATAAAATTATAAATACTCGTATTTAAATATGACATTTAACGTCAATACCTAAGCATTTATACTTGAATCCAACAAATAACATCAATATTTAACTTTTATACTCATAAAGTAAATAATAAAATAATTTTTATCAATTAAATTCTCTAAAATAAAGTCATTTTACTTAGAGATTCGTATATCGATCATGCCGATCATACCGATAGTGGTACACCGGTTTTATGACCGGTACCGGGTAAACCCGGTACAACCGATGGCACGCCGGCCGGCGTGACAACCATAATCATCAACCTACAAGAGCCCCACTTTATACAAATATTTAAACTTTACAGGACTATAGATAATGCCTGGTCCATCAGAAAAAATGGCATGACCCAGATCGATCTTCGACCTCTAGTCTTGGATCTATTGGTACCCTTTTGCTTACCAGCAAGTGAACCTCTTTTTTTTTTTTTTACTTTTACCAGTAGATTCAGTGGTTAATTAATGATTAAGTAAAGTTCGCAAAGGAAAGTAGGATGAGATCACAAAGCACATGAAAGAATTGCAGTGCCATGTGGGTGCTGCTGGCTGGTACAATCTGCAGCATTCTGAAAATGAAACAGCTTTTTCCCAAACAATTATTTTTATTTTTCTTTGTTAAATAGACCCCTTTTTTTGTTGTTGTTTGGTTCCAAAACTGGTAAAAAAATACACCAGGCTATGGATTTGACAAAAACAGAGCAAACAAAACGAACCAGCAGAGCAAGCAGCAAAAAGACTGTTGGGGGTGAGAGGAATAGGAAGAATACAAGGCGGAAGCAGCCAATAATCTGAAGCTACCGTACAACAGGGAAATTACAAATTTCATGAGAGGAAAGGAGAGTCGACACTGAATCTGGTGTTATATTTTGTGTACTGAGAGAAGAGAAGTGGAGCTCTCTCACTTCCACTTAAGACTGACATAAAACCTCCAAAATCCAAATGAAACGACCCAAAAAGGGTCCAGGATGGTGTCACTCTAATCTTGTCCACCGCCACAAAATTTAATGTCCAAAATATGTTTGCACCCACATTTGAACATATCTTAGGATGATATTTTCACCTTGTTCATTAAACTGTACCGGAGATCGTATCGGAAAAGTCAGCGATACAGTATTTTTCGGTAAAATCGTGGTTTAATCGTAGTTCAACCGTTAGTATCGTTAAATACCGCCTATCGGTTTAGCTTCCGATACTGATATTTTGTAGTTGAACAGTACGGTACGGTTTAATGGACCATGGAAAATATAGGGAATCTCTTACGCTATATATTTTACTTATTATGACTAAAGTGAATTGAAATGTGCGACGATGCTACTTAGCATAAGTAAACAACATGGGATTTGTATTGCATACTAGATACTAGAGGTGTCAATTGGGCGGTTGGGTCGGGTTCGGATTGGGTCCAACCGGGTTGGGTTCAATCGGGTTGCAAGTTCAATCGGGTCGGTTTCAATTTGGATCGGGTTTAATTGGGTTGCAGGTCAATTGGGTTACGAGTCAATCAGGTCACTCGTCAATTGGGTTACGAATCGGGTCGGGTTACGGGTGCATCAAATTACGGGTTTATTGGATTGTGGGTTAATTTGAGTTCGGTCAGGTCGGATTATGGGTTATTCGGGTCAACCCATTAGATCATTTGTTTCTTGACAGAAAATAATGTTGTACAAACTACCAATATATGAATATATATTGTAGGTAATGATAAAAATTTTAAGAAAATGATAATATGATAATATTTTACACATAAAAATTAATTATTCATTATGTTAGTATAAAACTAAATATAAATAAAATAGTGTATATAAAAGCTTTGTTGTTGGTTATAATTTTTTTTGTTTATGGTGAGAGATTGTAACTTCGCTTATTTTATTACTTTATAAAAAAATTGAATCAGTAAAAATTTGAGAATGAAGTAAAAAAGGTAGACTATATGCTTATACATCTCGAAATGAATCGTCTTAATTAAATATAGTATGAACTAAATGTATGTCTTTTTATTTTCACGAAGACTTATGAACATCATTCTGAATCACCCACTTATATATCTTCATAATTTTTTTATATATTCACGGTAACATCTCATCCTAAAACTCATGGGTCGAACAATGGTTCGCTCAAATATGATATTATCATCTAGTTCGAATCATCGATTTTTTAATTTATAAAAAATAAATTAAGTCAGTAAAAAGTTGAGAATGAAGTAAAAAGGGTAAACTATCCACTTATATATCTTGATAGGGATCATTGATTTTGGGGATTTCATTGATTTTCAAGGATTGATTTTTTAATATAGTTATGGGTAGAGGAGATACGAATTTGTGTACAACTCTTCCTATTATCTTCAAAAATTTATCCTTTGAATTTCACAAAATAAAAAATGAATGAAAAGATATTTCACATATTATTATTTTAAAAATTAAATATTTAAGAAAAAACCTCAATTTATACCATCAATACAACAAATAATTTTCAATTATTACGAGAACAACAGTTCTTTCTTGATAAATTTAAAAATATAATCATGTATACATTGAATTTTTGTACAAGCATTCGGGTCAAATGGGTTATTCGGGTTATTCGAGTTGGGTTGGGTTCGGTTATGGGTTATTTGGGTTATGAATCATTCGAGTTATAGATGGGTCAGGTTATGGTTTGGATCGGATAACGAGTTCATCGAGTTATGGGTTGATCGGATTACGGGTCAATTGGTTTCGGTTTACGGGCGAGCTTCGGGTGGTTGATTTTTTGTTAAATCGGGTTACGGACAGGTAGTGGGTCGGGTGGGTTGGGCGGGTTAGTCGGGTCGGGTTCAATTTTGACAGCTCTTCTAGATACTATCTGTATGTGTGTAACGATCATAAAATATTATACCAGATAAATTATCTTTTTATTTAATGATATTATCACCTATTCAGAAAAAGAATGCGAGTTATTACAGAATGCTTATATGCTCATTTATTAAAATGTTGCACAGGAATATTAATCATTCCCTAATAATTATGCAATACATTTATGTTTAACCTAAAACATTATATAAAATGACATACTATGTAAATTTAATGTGATGAATGGTCTTTTATGAAATCATAATTAGGGAAGGACTGATAAGTAAGAAAGAACTCTCATTTATTTTTTAATCTTTAAACATAAACAATAGTTGTAGTATATTTTTTTATTTATATGTTTCATATGAGGAAAAAAAACAATATTTTGTTAGTGAAAATAAACACCAAGTTTTGTAAAGTGTCAAGTAATTAGAACGTAATACATAACAATATGATTAAACCATGGCGTTAATTATCGAAGCTACTAGTTAGTTTTTTTTAATTAATTTATCTTTCTAATCAATTACTTACAAGCGTTGCTACAAAATACTCCAAATTTTCTTAGATCACCTAGCTTACTTAATATTAATTCAAGTAATCGTAAGAAAATCCCAATATATATATTGTGATGAAATTTGATCTCTTTCAAGAATTATTAATTTAATTTGCTTTATGCTGGCAAAAGGCTAACAGCCTAAACACATGGAATGCTGCTCGTGTCCATCCCCTTTTATTTTGGGTACAACAATTAATACCAATTCTGCTGCATGATGATACGCTTCATCATAAAAGGCCGCCCAAATAAATCAATAACACAATAATAATTAGTGCTTAGAATCACAATACTTATTCGTCTTTGCGATTTTATAGTAGTCTGTAGGGTTGCTGCTGAGTGCTGATGGTTGTGGCTGGTGGATACCATCCATCTTATATTATGAGTTTGTTTTCTTCTCTCCAACTGTCATCAAAATGCAAATAATTTGAAACTTCGTTTTCATACTTCCATTCCTGTCTTCATCAGGAAAAGAGTAGAAAGTCTTTCAGATGCTAACTTGTACTTAGAGGTAAGAACCGCGAAAAAACATATAATTCGAAGAAAGAATCGATAAAGAGGGATTCAAGTGGGAAAAACACGAGAACAGTGGTGTAGCACGGAGTTTATCTAAAAATACTATAACTTACATTTTAGGATAGGTTTTTATATTCTGGAAAAAAGTTTATAAAATAAATTCATTGTGCAACTGCAAATTGTTAGGGAAGTTAAGATATGATAATTTCATCTCATCTGATTCTGAGGTGTTCTTCGCATTGTTCATTGTAGTAAGTACTCTTTCAACACTAACAATGACAACCAGTAGCAACAACCGTCTCTAAGTTTTGAGGTTTTATTTATATTAAACTCAAGAACATAATATGATTTAAAAGTTAGATATAAATCAGAAAACATTGTTTTATGATAAATTTTTTCTTTACAACAATAGAAAAATATTGTATTCAGTCCATAGTAATATATAAAAAAAATTACTGCTATAGTTTATTCGACGAAGGTGGTGCAAATGACTTATCTATCTTGACCTCATGTTGCTTCGCCATTGCACGAGAGTTTGATATAAAAGTAATTGTAAGTTTGTAACTTCGATTTTTTTCGAATAAGAGTTTTCATTCTATACAATTTTTCTTAGTAGCCGTCACCAAAAACAACTATAAACTCGATCAACTCAAGTATGCTAAATATTTATGTGGCCAAGGTAGAATGCATCAAGGTCTTCATCAAAAGAAGAGTTCGAAGGAGGACAAATTCTTTGGCAGTTGGAAGATGGCTATCGACAAAGACACATTTGAATTAGATGGAAAAGGAACGGTGGGTTATGGTCACTATGAAAATTGAAAGAAATTGGCAGGGAGTAAGCTTTTTTTTGGGGTGGGATCAAATTTGCTAGATTTTTCTTCCCAAAAATGTGACCTTTCAAATTGGACTTGGTTGTGGATTTTGGGAATGCCTCCATTCACCCTTCTTCCTCGTCTTCTTCTCCAGCAGCTACAGAAGAGAAGAGAGAGGAGATCCGATTCAGTGGAAGAAAAAAAGAAGTCTTTCCAATTAGTGGACAAACAATGAATGGATACCCGGAAAACATATTTCTGGGGCCAAGTCGGAAAAAGAAAAATGATGATGATGATGTTCTTGCGAAAGCGATTTCAATTAGGTAGTTAAGGGTACAATTTTGGGCCCTGTGCCATGCTTCTACTTCCAGTCTTCCACAAATTACCCATCAATCAACTTTTCTTCTTCTTCTTTTCACCCCCACAAAACTGAAGAGTGAAATTTAGACGCTCCTCATAATTTAACTAGGAGCCAAAGTACATTATTAAAGAGTGTGGATAAGTACTTGGGTGAAATATGGGAAGCACTCTTTCAACCAATTAGGAGAGGGGTTGCATTCCAAGCATCGAAAGCAGCAGCCTCGGGGTATGGGTCGGGTGGTCCGGATTTAGCCATTTTAATCACCCGATCCATGCACTACGGTTTGAGAAACATTAAACCCAAATCCACCCAAAAAATTTTAAACCCTACGGTTTGTTTCTAATTTGGTTGGGTCGGGTTGGCGATATTTTTAAGTAAAAACCCAACTCAACACAAAATATATAATTATTCTGCACCATAAAAATATTTTATAACTAATTAAAATTTCAAAGGAATAAGCCGAGGTGAAAAGTATCTAAATTCACAAGAAAAAGGGTTATATGAATCATAGCTATATTAAATTTGTGTCTAAACTTTAAGCCGAAAAATGCATTAGATTAGGAAGACCATGAGAGAAAAACATGGCGAAATATCTTAATTTTCTCATAAGTATGGCTGTATACGACATAAATCTATTTTGGATACGAACTCATACCAATTATTGGAACACGGATGGGGTTGGGTCGGGTTCCATGGGTTGGGTTGGGTCGGGTTCTACGGGTTGTGTAATCCAAAATCCAAACCCAACCCAAAAGAGGCAGGTTGTACAAAAAAAACCCCTTATCCAACCCAAAACCTTCGTTTTAGCAATAAATACGGGTGGGTTGGATCGAGTTGGACGGGTGAGTCGATTTGTGGGTGTATTTGTTCACCCCTAAGCAGCACAAATGTGGCTGTTTTCCACTTGTAAATAGGAAACTTTCAATCGCTGAAAGGGAGTGATGACAATTTATATTTTCGACTACAGTCAGTTGAGTCACATTCGTGTCATCTCAAAATTCGTGGACGAACTACTGAGATTATGAGTAGATCCAATCCAAAAGTGTTGATGTGTTAACCACCTACACAAATGCAGGAAATTGCTGTTGGTTGGGATATATTTATCATTCAAACAAATATATAATAAAAAAAATTAAGAGGAGGATGGGAATTGTGAAAGTCAATGTAACAGAAAACAAAGGATAGTAGGTAAATTTTTGTTCCTGCTGAATGAGCAAAGATGCTATTCTTGTCCAACAACATTAATATGTGTAATTTGTTCCACCTCATAATAATGTTTTCCTGTCAGCTTTTTGATTCTTTGTAATATTTTTTTAGGGCTTTCTAGCTAACCTTCTTCATCTTAACTGTGAGTACTGGCTACAGTGGCGCAGTCACAGAGTCAGACCAACCTTACTCTCTCTGTGCGTAAGAGAGATGGAAAGAGAGAGAGAGCGCAATGATTCAGTTTTTTCCCTCAAATGCGAATTTTTCATAGTTTAGTAAGTTCCATGCCCACCTGCGCTCCTCATTCAAACCCCTCTTTTCCCCCATTTTTTAGCTCTAAGAATGAGAGAGAGGGAGATAGGGAAAATAAACAATTGAGAATCCAATTGGGGTTTAAAGTTTTTGTTTTGTTTGGTTGTAATTAATTAAGTCGATAATCCATCCTTGTGGGTTTTTGGTGTTGGTGAGCTGTGCCTGTGTGTGTCCACTGCTACAATTCCCATGGCTTAACCACTTCCTTCCCCTTTCTCACATGGCTCCATAATAATCTCACTTCCATTACCATCTCTCTCCCCTCCCTTTCCTCTCCGTTTCTCTCTGTCTAGAGATGTTGGATCATCAGCTTGAGAAATCATCATGACCTCCTCCCAACAAACACTTCTTCCCCTTCAATTCCTTCTACTCCTTTTGGTTCGCTTCTCTTCCGCCATTAACACCGATGGAATCCTTCTGATGTCCTTCAAGTTCTCGATCCTCAGCGACCCGCTCAATGTGCTCCAGGGCTGGAACTACGACGACCCAACTCCCTGCTACTGGAAGGGCGTCCTTTGCTCCTCTCCCGCTGGGATCGACGGCTCTTTAGCTCGAGTCGTAGCTTTGTCGCTTCCCAACTCGCAGCTCCTCGGCTCCATCCCTGCCGATCTCGGCGCCATTCAGCACCTCCAAAGTCTGGACCTTTCCAACAATTCGCTTAATGGGTCGCTCCCGATCTCCATTTTCAACGCTACCCATCTCCGGATTCTCGATCTGTCCAACAACTTGCTTGCGGGTCGAATCCCGGAAAGCGTCGGCCAGTTGCAGAGCCTCGTGATGCTTAATTTGTCTGACAATGCCATGACAGGGGGTTTGCCGGTCGGTCTTGCTACGCTGCAGAATCTGACGGAGCTTTCTCTAAGGAACAATTACTTCTCCGGCGAGCTTCCGGGTGGGTTTAATCGGGTCGAAGTGTTGGAACTGTCTTCCAATCTCGTCAATGGATCTCTGCCTCCTGATTTTGGGGGAAACAGCCTCCGTTACTTGAACGTCTCTTACAACCGGCTTTCGGGGAGGATCCCGGCCGAATTCGCGGCGAAAATCCCGGGTAACGCCACCGTCGACCTCTCTTTCAACAATTTGACCGGAGAGGTGCCGGATTCAAGTGGGTTTCTCAACCAGAAATCCGACTTCTTCGCCGGGAACACTGATCTCTGCGGCGGCCCGACCACGAAGCCCTGCCCCATTCCTTCTTCTCGTGTCAATTCATCTGCCCCGACGACATCCCCTCCTGCAATCGCCGTGCTTCCTAGGACAATCGCCTCCAGCCCCGCCGACTCCGCGCCGGGGAAAGACAAATCTCGCCGGCAAGAACAGAGCAGTAGGCTAAAAACAGGGACGATCATCGGAATCGTGCTCGGCGACGTCGCCGGGGTCGTGATTCTGTTCGTGGTGTTCTTTTACGTCTATTACTTCATCAAGAGAAGAAAGAAGAAGGAAGCCCTCGGAACTGGTAACCCAAACGACGCCGGATTCGCCAAGGACGACTCCACCTCGTCGTCTTCCTCTTCCGAATCCAGAGGATTCGCCACGTGGTCCTGCCTCCGGAAGAAGAGCGAAAACGACGACGACGACTCCGACACGTCGACATCCGACAACGACGAGCTCGAATCCAAATCCGCCGCGGGCGGCGGCGCTGAGGTCCATCCCGATCAGAGCAGCAGCAACAGCAATGCCGGTAAAGGAGGGACGCTGGTGACCGTCGACGGTGGCGAGAAAGATCTCGAGCTCGAGACCCTCCTCCGAGCCTCCGCCTACATCCTCGGCGCCACCGGGTCGAGCATCGTGTACAAGGCGGTGCTTGAGGACGGAACTTCCCTCGCCGTCCGACGAATCGGGGAAAGCCAGGTCGACCGGTTTAGGGATTTCGAGAACCAGGTTCGGGTCATATCCAAATTGATCCACCCGAACCTGGTCCGGATCCGCGGGTTCTATTGGGGTCCCGACGAGAAGCTCATCATCTATGATTTCGTCCCCAACGGCAGCCTCGCCAACGCCCGTTACCGTAAGCTCCTCCCTCTCCGTTTACTTTTCCGTTAGCTAACGTGCACTGGAGGGAAAATTGCATTGGATTTGGCGGTGGAGTGGTTGGAATCCAACCGCTTTGTTTTTATTGCAAATAATCCGTCATCGGTAGTCAACCCCTTTTTTAGTCAGTCATCGCTCATGTGTACACATGGTCATGGTAATGGCGCCCGCCTATCCTTATCGTACGCCCCACGGCGTCCGATGGAGACAGGCCTTCCCATTTACCCGTTTCTTTCCGCTAGATGATGTGGTACTTGTCCAACAATCTAACGTGCGCGGGTGTCTTTTGGGTTTGTTTCTTCTGTTTGGCAGGGAAAGCCGGGGGATCGTCGCCGTGTCATTTGCCGTGGGAGGCCCGGCTCAAAATCGCCCGAGGAGTGGCCCGTGGGCTTACCTTTCTGCACGAGAAGAAACACGTCCACGGAAACTTGAAGCCCAAGAACATCCTCCTGGGCTCGGACATGGAGCCCAAAGTTGGAGACTTCGGGCTTGAGAAGCTCATCATCGGCGACACAAGCTACAAGGGCAGCGGATCGGCTCGGAATTTCGGGAGCAAGAGGTCCACGGCGTCGCGGGAGAGCTTCATGGACTTCGCGTCGACCGGGCCCAGCCCGAGCCCTAGCCCGAGCTCGATCGGAGGGCTTTCGCCGTACCATGCACCCGAATCGCTTCGAAGCCTGAAGCCCAACCCGAAGTGGGATGTGTATGCGTTCGGGGTCATATTGCTCGAGCTGTTGACGGGGAAGGTCATAACGGTGGACGAGACGGGGCAAGGGAGTAATGGGCTTGCGGTTGAGGACCAGACTAGGGCGTTGCGGATGGCTGACGTGGCGATCCGAGCTGACGTGGAGGGAAAAGAAGAGGCCTTGCTGGCATGCTTCAAGTTAGGTTATAGTTGTGCATCTCCACTTCCTCACAAAAGGCCAGCCATGAAAGAAGCCTTGCAGGTTCTTGAGAAAATCCCTACACCGCCTTCTGCTTCTTCAATGTTTCTTTATGGTCAGTGATGGAAAAAAAGGATCATGAATTTGATTTGTAGAGAGTATGTATGTTATGTAGCAATATTGACCTGTTTTTGTCGCAGAAAAAGAGTGCACTCTTTTCGTTTTAATCTTTTTTTCCCTTGTTCTTATTGCAGAGAGTTGTAATTGTCTAACAGGGTTGGTAGATCTTTAAGTTGCACACTAATCTTATTATAGCATCTTGTTAATTATGATCCCAATTATTGGCATTTCTCAGCTTGGTGCTAAGTTAGATGATAGATAAGTGAAGGGTTTGTCCGCTAGATAGACAGGATATTTGGTGCCAAATTCATGAATCTGAATGTGGCTGATTTGAACCGTGATAATTGAGAAACAGGCTCAGTTTTTATGAACTATTTTATTTACTAAATTTGTTACAAATTTTTAGGGTTAATTGCATGGTTTGTCACTGAGATTATAAAAAACGTTCATGTTTGGTCACTGAAAATATTTAAATCTAATCTTGATCACTCAAATTAGTTAAATGGTTCAAGTTTGGTCACTCTCCGTTACCTTCCTTCAGTGACCAACCATGCAATTAACCCCAAATTTTCATGTAATTTTACCTATTTTACAAATTTGAAAGAGGCTTTATCCACTTCTAACTTCAAACTAATTCCTACTGAGGATAACAGATAACATGCAACACACTATGACACAAAGAATAAAGAAAAATTCATGGCATCGGTTATTATTCAATTGGAAGTGGCATACTGTTGGCTAGTGGCACGTCCTGGTCACGTCAGGAGCCCCGACCCATGATAACGTCGGCCCATGCTCATGCACAACGAGCTACGTCTGAGTTACAGGAGGAAGAGGAGAAGCACTCTCCAACCCTAGTTGATCAATGTAAAGGGTTATATAAGCATTGTACATGCTACGACCATTATCATCCATCACAAATAATAAAAGTATAGTCGGAGAGCATTCAATCTCTCCCGTGGACTAGTCCCGACGCACCGTCGGGGATACCACGTAAACCCCGTCTTCTTTACTTTTGCGATCTAGATTAAGTCGATTTCTCATGGTATCAGAGCACTAAGGTCTGTACCTCTTTTGTTCCTATGGTGACCTTGGCCGATGAAAAGTCTGATGGCTCAAAGGCCTCGGTTTCTACGGCTGGTGGGGATTTTGCCTTGCCGCCAGTTTATCAGCTGCACAACTCGGATGGTCCTGGCCAGATGTTGGTCGGCAATGTCCTGACTTCTTCCAATTATGGCGAATGGATCTCAGACATGAAGGACTCGTTAATCCCAAGAACAAGTATTCGTTTGTTGATGGAACTCTCGAAAGACCTACAGCAGGGGAGCAACGCAACGCGTGGATTCGTTGTGATGCAATGATCAAAGGCTGGCTCAAGACAGCCATGGATAAAGAAATACATAGTAGTGTCAGATTTGCCGAGACGTCTCGAGAGATATGGGATGATCTTCAGTGTCGGTTGGGTAAAGGGAACGCCTCTCTTGCCTATGAGCTCCGCCGAATGGTTAGTTCCTTGCAACAATAGAAGCTTTCTGTTTCTGCTTTTTATACTAAATTGCGGTCACTCTGGGAAGAATCCACGGCGATCACGCCCACACCTAGCTGTACGTGTGGCAAGTGCACCTGCGGCGTGTCACTTCGGGTCTGTGAGCAGCTCGAGAGTTCGAGGCTCTTCGACTTTCTAATGGGGCTTGACGACGTGTTCTCGGCTGTCCGAACGCAAGTACTGGCGATTAAGCCGACTCCACCTCTCCCTGAGGCATTTAATATTGCTGTCCATGAAGAACAGCAGCGGATGATCACCCAAAACAGGCGGCCGACCGCGGAAGCTGCCGCGTTTGCAGCTCGCGCTGATGGTGATCGTGGCGGACAGCGTGGGGGGCGCGATAAGCCTCGATGCAGCCATTGTCAGAAGCAAGGCCATGTTCGGGAGACCTGCTACCAGCTGATTGGTTATCCTCCTCGCGACGACCAGCAACGCCGGAAACCCCGCCCTAATGATGAGAGTTCTGCGCATGGAGAGTGGTCTGGGCGTGATCGTGAGCCTCCCCGGCGTGATCCGGCTTCGCCTGGGCGCGAGGGGTTTGGCTGCGACAGGGAGCCGCGAGCGGCGCTAGCGGATCAGGAGAAGGACAAGAGCCATGTCCCTGGGTTTATTGCTAGTCAATTGGAGCAGCTCCGCCAATATTTCGGCTATCCACACAAAGGTTCCGAAGACCCAGCGGCACACTTAGCAGGTATGGTCTCTCTCGGTATTGAATGGTTGCTTGATTTTGGGTGCAATGAGCACATTACTATGGATGAGGCAATTTTAACTGACAAACTAGCAAATGAGAATGGTCCACCGGTTCGTATTCCGAACGGTGATAGTGTCCCGGTCAAACATATTGGTCGTGTGAGCCTACAACCAGGAGTTGAGCTTGGTCGTGTTCTCTATGTCCCCGAGTTTCGCTGTAACCTGATTTCGGTGAGTCGTTTCACACAGGATAATCATGTTGCTTTAATCTTTGTCGGTGACTTTTGCGCCCTTCATGACTTGACCTCCAAGAAGTTGATTGGGAAGGGTGAATTACGTGATGGGCTATACTACCTGCAATTGTTTGGCGTGGGACGGGCTCAGGCGTGTGCGGTGAAGCGCCCGACGGTGATCTCCGAAGCACTTTGGCATGCCAGGCTGGGCCATGCTTCTCACGACAAGCTTGTGCAGTTGTGGGAGGAACTTCATTTGTCTTTCAGTTTGAATAAATAGCCTTGTGATTCCTGTATACGGGCTAAACAAACTCGGCTTCCTTTTCCTAGTAGTGCGGTTCGCACAAAACGGTGTTTTGATTTAGTTCATGTAGACATCTGGGGTGGCTACAAAATTGCTTCATTAAGTGGGGCACATTATTTTCTCACGATAGTGGATGACTTCAGTCGTGGAGTTTGGATTTACTTACTTCGTTATAAGTCTGTCGTGGGTCGCTACTTAATGATGTTTGATCAGCAGATTCGTACTCAGTTTGGACGCGGCCTCACACGTATCCAAGCCGATAATGGGCATGAGTTCAATACTTTGGTTTTGCAGGATTATAATGAACGTCAGGGCATTGTCTTGCAGACCTCTTGTATAGACACCCCGCAGCAGAACAGCGTTGTCGAACGTAAGCACCGACATCTTTTAGACATGGCTAGGGCTCTTCGGTTTCAGGCCAGTTTACCTCTCCGTTTTTGGGGAGAATGCCTCTTAACAGAGCATATATCATAAATCGCCTTCCTACCTTGGCCACCGAACGTACACCATTTGAAGTTTTGTTCAGCAAACCGGCGCCCTATGCCCATCTACGGGTCTTCGGGTGTCTTGCCTATGCAAAAGACACCCACGCTAGTCTTGATAAATTTGCTGAGCGCGGTCGCGCATGTGTATTCCTCGGTTATGCTTTCAGTCAGAAGGGTTATCGCGTTTACGAGCTTGCTACACAGAAAATTCTCACATCACGTGACGTCGTTTTTAATGAGAACTATTTCCCATTTCAGCATAGCACTTCGGATCGGCTCCATTGGATCCCGCGTGCTGTGTTGCTTGCGTCCCCTGATGATGAGACTGAATTTCTCGACAAGCAGCAGACTGGGGATGCTCCTGACCTCCTCGACAACCAGCCTTCCGGCCCCTGCGGTTCGCCCATTACGCCAGCCTCTTCGTCCATTGATCCTCCTACTCCGCCAGTGGACAGTTTTTCTTCACCCCAGCAATCACCTCGTCCCGATGGCGCGGCTCCTGGTTTGGCGGGCCTCAATTCGGCTGCCACTGCTCCCTCCTCGCCGCAGGCAGCTGCCCCTCCTTTACGGCGCGCTACTCGCGCTAGAACTCGACCTGGCCATCTCGACGCCTATGACACTATTTATAGCACCCATGTCACTTCTACTATTTCATCACAGGGAAGTACCACTCCTACTTCCGTTCAGTATCCGTTGGCCGCTTATGTTTCCTATTATCATGTTAACACTACCTATTCTTCCTTTTTGGCCGCAGTCAATCTCCACCTTGAGCCTCGCAATTTTCGGGAAGCCTTCCAAGACCCACGGTGGCGGGAGGCCATGCTCAAGGAAATACAAGCCCTTCAGAAGAATGGGACGTGGACACTAGTTGATTTGCCACCCGGGAAGCGCGCCATCGCGTGCAAATGGGTTTATAAAATCAAGTTCTATCCCGATGGCAGTATCGAGCGATTCAAAGCACGCTTGGTTTCCAAGGGATTCACACAGGTGGAAGGCATCGATTTCCACGACACCTTCGCCCCGGCCGCTAAGCTGGTCACCGTGCGTTGTCTTCTTGCCGTCGCGGTTAGTCGTGGTTGGACTTTGCACCAGTTGGATGTTAATAACGCCTTCCTCCATGGCGACCTTGAGGAGGAGGTTTATATGAAGATTCCCCATGGTTTTGCAGCACCTGGTGATACCCATGTATGTCGGTTACACAAGTCCTTGTATGGGCTCCGACAAGCTTCTCATAATTGGTACCATAAGTTTACACAGGCTTTGTGCTCTCTCGGGTTTCGCGCATCCCCAGCAGACAACTCACTTTTACCTTTGTTGTCGCCTTGATATATGTTGATGATGTTCTATTGACCGGCAATGATGAGCAGTTCATTTCCCGCGTCAAACACGTCCTCGACGAGCAGTTTAGCATCAAAGATTAAGGTCCTCTTCGTTATTTTTTGGGCATGGAGTTCGCCCGTACTCACGACGGCCTGGCCATTTGTCAACGCAAGTATGCGCTAGATATTCTCGAGGATGCAAGTGTTGGTGCAGCCCGACCTAGTGCGTTCGCGGTTGAACAGAATCACCACTTGACTCGTCCGACAGCCGACACAGATGTCTTGGCTGATCCCACTGTGTATCGACGCCTTGTTGGCCGCTTGCTCTACTTGACGGTTACTCGCCCTAATCTTAGTTACAGAGTTAACTTTCTTAGCCAGTTCGTTAGTTCTCCGAGTCAGGCTCACATGGATGCTGCTCTGCGAATTCTCCGGTATCTCAAGTCGGGTCGGGTCAAGGTTTGTTATTTCCCGCTCGTAGTGATCTATCTCTCACTGCCTACTGTGATGCCGACTGGGGTGGTTGTGAGAGCACTCGACGTTCCACTACTGGTTATGTTGTGTTCCTTGGTGGTGTTCCCATATCATGGCGCACCAAGAAACAACGTATGATTTCTCGATCTTCTGCTGAGGCCGAGTATCGGGCCATGGCTAGCACAGTCAATGAGGTACTCTGGCTACGTTGGCTTCTTAGTGAGTTGGGTGTACCACAGCACACATCTACTCCTCTGTTCTGTGATAATCAAGCTGCGCTTCACATCGCAGCTAATCCCGTGTTTCATGAATGCACCAAACATGTGGAGATGGATTGCTAATTCTTCCGAGAACGTGTTCAGTCCGGCGATGTCTTACCTCTGAAGGTCAGCTCTCATATGCAGCTTGCGGACATGTTCACTAAAGGCCTTGGTGCTGATCGTTTCCGATTTTTATTGTCCAAGCTGCGCGTTTGTAACATCCACGCTCCAGCTTGCGGGGGAGTGTTGGCTAGTGGCACGGCCTGGTCACGTTAGGAGCCCAGGCCCATGATAACGTCGGGCCATGCTCATGCACAACGAGCTATGTCCGAGTTACAGGAGGAAGAGGAGAAGCACTCTCCAACCCTAGTTGATCAATGTAAAGGGTTATATAAGCATTGTACAGGCTACGACCATTATCATCCATCACAAATAATAAAAGTATAGCCGGAGAGCATTCAAGCTCTCCCGTGGACTAGTCCCGACGCACCGTCGAGGATACCACGTAAACCCCGTCTCCTTTACTTTTGCGATCTAGATTAAGTCGATTTCTCACATACCTTTGCCATTCAACCTCCAACTTGATTGGGTGGCTTTGATATTGCCTGCAAGCAACAATTTTGGAAAACAAACAATCCAGAAGTTGTACAGTTTGCTTCAATGGACCAATAAGAACAAGAAAAAACAGAACCCTTATTTGAATTGTCACATCATCACAATGCTGCTAGTGAAGAACCATTGAGACACGTTGCAGAATTGATGTCCAAAACAAAATTGGCAGTTGGGCCGCAATGAACAACCCAAATGCTAAAACCATAAAGCCTGCAAATCCAGGTCCTGGCCCAAATCAAAGGGAGCATGTAGAACCAGACGCACGCTAGTACACTGCAAATTTTCTTAGGAAAAAGTATCCATCAAATTACTTTTTTTTTTGTCAAATTGCTAGATTTCTGGAGTCTATGATGATTTGAAATATCCACCAAATTACTTTTACGCCATGCTGCTACATTCCTGGAGTATGTAATATTTTGGGTACCTTATTGAATTAATTATACTTAGATCATGATTTAAAATGAGATAGAGATTTTAAACGGTACCTAACATCTAATAGATAAATCCTGATGACCAATAATCAAACAGAGTCAAAGGGGACAATGCAAGTCAAAACAGATAATACCAGTCAAGATGGGAAAACCAATGGTCTAACTTGATTGCTCTACAGGTAACGCTCATCTGTTTGGAACTCTATTTGGATCCGACGCCAAATTGAACTTTTGATAAGCTAGCTAGTCAAACAATTGGATGAGAAGGAATAGATTGACAAATTGGAATCGAGATATGTTATCCGGAATATACTCATGTTCCAGATCTCCTACACGCTACTATTCCAGATCGTGGTTCATTGCCGATGTACCTTCACCCTCTTGATGATTAGGCTACTTTTCGTTTGTGTTTGACTCATTGCTCTTTTAATCATTTGTAGTGATGCATAAGTGGTCATTCGGATATCACAAATGATTCGCCACACATGATGGGGGCTATCTTGCATGAGTTACAAGTGTTGCATACTTCTCTTCAACGTACAACATTCTCTCTCACACCTCACAAGTGTGTAATATGGTTGTTCCATATCGTGACAAAACAAGTCATTTCATTGTTAGATCAGTTATTAATCAGCTAACCTTTTTTTCTTTAATTTTGTGACTTGACCTGCGAAAGTTTTGTATATTTGGTATCTAACAATTTCCCTTCGGGATACCTATGGAAAAAATCTATATCCAAACTAGTTCAAAGGAAAACTAGTGGTAACTTGCCAACGTTGATGTTGATTAAATGCCACACTATTACTTAATTGTCAAACCCGGGCCGGTCCATGTTCCCCTTATTTAATAACTTTGTTTGTTAGGTAGCAAACGTTTTTGGGTTTAAAACTAAGAAACCTACAAATGAAACCAAACAAGTAAAGTAAATCGAGGTTGTCCCAATGAAAGAAGAGTTCAACCGGGTATTGCTTCCCCTAGCTAACTATTATGACTTGTTGGATCGAATGGTCATGTCTGGTAAGGTGGTTGTAAACCGTAGGGAAGTGCAACAAGTAGCCAAGGGCCACTCTCTTGGTCTCTAGGTCGAGGAAAGGGAATTTGATCCAAGTCACCAACGTGACTCTCTCGACCTATTGACGAAGGGTTGGTTAGACTTCATCCTCGAATCGGAGTTCGGACGGCCATCCACAACCAAACAATAAGTGCTAATACTAAATAAGAGGTTTGCCCTGCATTAACCTAGATAGGAGACAACGATTTGCCTAAGAAAACGCAACATTCAAGCCTCTTTCAAAGAAAGGAAGGGGGTTTTCTCTCTACCTAGGTTAGAATGACAATTAGATTGATAGGCTTTCACACAACACAATCATTCATGAATGCTTCCACATTCACATTAAACACAACCACACACAAATCATTCAATCCATACAAGCATTCACATAATTGTAGCTAGGGTTTACAAACACCCAAGTAAAAGAAGGGACTACTCCATGCTAGGAGGAGGGAAAACACAAGAGAGAAGTAGGGAAACCATCAAAGAGATGCTAGCCTTGCTCCTTATGTTGAAGAGATCCTCCTTTGGGGGAGGAATTCCCAATTCCTTGCTTGAAGATGAAACCCTAGCTTCTCCTCTTCTTTTGTTCGTCACTTTCTCACTCTAGAAATTTGAAGAAAAAATTTCTTACATTAGGTCTCTCCCCCTTTTCCTTCAGTTCAACCTCCTTTATATACTCAGATCGGGCTCAGTTCACGGTCTTAGTTCACGGTCGTGAACTGAAAGCCCAGATCGCGAACTAAAGTCTAAACGCGCTGCATCACTAATCCCAGTTTACGGGCAATGGCCTGAGTTCACGGTCTTATGACCGTGAAATGACTTGTGTCCAGTGAAAGTTGTTTGTGCTCTTGATGCCTGGATGTTCACAGGTAACGCCTCCAGTTCACGGTCTTAGTGACCGTGATCTGCTGCTGTTTCCACCGTTTGACTTGATTTTTCACCTTTTCGTCCAATTTTAGACTCCAGCGTTGGTTCCACGTGCCAAAGTTTGAAAACACCAAAATAAGGCAAAACCCGGCGTTTTTCGCCTAAACCGCTGGTACGGGTGGCGGTTTTGCAGAAAGGGTGCTATTTTTGGAATTTTTCGCAGTTGTGTGCTATTTTTGGATTTTTTTTTTCTGAACAGTGCTATTTTTGGAAAATCCCGAAATTTCCGGCTCGTTTTCGTCCTGGCAAATGCTTTGGCATTTTTCTGGGAACAATTGCAATTCCCCTTTTTCTAGGAACAATTGCAATTCCCCACTTCAGTTAAGAGAGAGAGGTTTTTGGCGGCAACGCTAGTTTTATGATGTTTGTGAGATTAACCCGTTTTGTAATGTTTGTAAGTCTGTTTTGAATCGATTATGTTTATATGTTTTATCATTCTAGTTTGTAATGTTTATATGACTATTTTGTATATATTGTAATTTGTAATGTTTGTTTGTCTAGTTTGTATACTTTATGTTATGATTTGTACACTTTTCATTCATTGATTTGCAATACAAGTTTACTGATTTGTATCATAAGTAGTGACATTTTGTACTGTCAGTATTGCTGTAATGTTTGTCGAGTTGTTTTGTAATGTTTGTAAGCTTTGTTATTTTGTAATGTTTGTCGAGTTCCTTTTTAATGTTTGTAAGCTTTGTTATTTTTGTCCAACATATTTGTCATTTTTGTTAATCATGTTTGTAATGTTTTTCATGTACAAAAATAATAATACAAAACATACAAACTATACAAATCATACTGACATTATGTAAAAAAGTACTAATGATACAAACTGATAACACTTTCATTATAAACCATTGTTCTTCCTTCAGACGACAAAGTACAGAGATCCGTCGCCGTCGACTCTCTCTCCACCACCGCTGCTGCCGCCTACTCTCTCTCTCTCTCTCTCCATCGCCGCGCCGCCTCTCTCTCTTCTACCATTGCCGACGCTCTCTCTGCCACTGCCTCTCTCTCCTCCAACATCGTCTCTCTCTCTCCTCTAATTTCCTGATGATGATGCCAGATCTGCTTTCTCTCTCTCTCCAATACTGCCGCCTACGTCGCGATCTCCTTTCTCTCTCTCCATTACCGTCGTCGAGGTCTCCTTTCTCTCTCTCTCTCCATTCTCACCACCGCCCCCTTTTATTGCACCGTTGTCGTTCTCTTACAAGTCACACTTGCTGCTCTTCTCTCTCTTCCACGTTGGACGATGGCAGCGCAGAAAAGGAAGCTTGGAGGAGGGGAAAAATGCATTTTTTATAATCCCAAAATTGCCCCTCCCACTAATTAATTATTCATTTTCTAAATTTCACCACCATTAAATCAATCCATCTAAATCCAAGGATTAGGAGGGGTTTAACCAAATGACTAAACTCTCTCTTAGTCATCAGATCCTCTCTCCAATTTCTGGCCCATTTTGTGAAGCTGGGCTGGTGAGATGGAGAAGCCCAAACAAACCCGGGTTTCCCGAAAACCCTACCCGCACAACCCGAGCTTATAACGGTCATTTCAAGGTTCGAAGTTCAAACTCCCCGATTTTGAATTGTAAAAAGTGCCCCGCTCTTTCTCTCCTCTCACTTTTTAAAAATCCTTTCTGTTCTGTTTCCGGTATTTCTCTCCCAACAAAATTCAGAAAAACCACGCGCCTTGTGTGGAGACGGAGGAGAAACGAAAGATTTCATATCTCATTCCTCTCAACGAAATTGCAGACGATTCCCACTGATTCTTAAACCAGCGGAGAAAAAACGAAGCGCGTCGGAGATGGCGACGAAGATTGGGATGATGGATGCGGCGTACTTCGTCGGCAGATCGGAGATTCTCGCTTGGATCAACTCCACTCTCCAACTCAATCTCTCCAAAGTCGAAGAGGTTTTTGTTTCACTTGGCTTTTTCTCTGAAACCCTAACTCCTGTTTTTGCGAAGCAAATTTTCTCTAAGCAGATCTGTCTGTATTGTTTGGCTCCAGGCGTGCTCTGGAGCGGTTCACTGTCAGCTACTGGACGCCGTTCATCCAGGGATGGTGCCGATGCACAAGGTCAATTTCGATGCCAAGAGCGAGTATGAGATGATTCAGAACTACAAGGTCCTCCAGGATGTGTTCAATAAACTCAAAATCACCAAGGTCTGGATTGGCGACCGAGTTCCTCGTTTTGTTTGAATCGATCGCTTGATCGATTCCTTTTTTCTTCATGGTTTTTGAAGTGTTATTTTCTTCCTTCGATTGACAGCATATTGAAGTAAGCAAGCTCGTGAAAGGGAGGCCACTGGATAATCTGGAGTTCATGCAGTGGCTCAAGCGCTACTGCGATTCCGTCAATGGAGGCCTTGTCAGGTGAGTTTCCTCTTTCTTCAACTGCTATTCCCTGCTTTCTTCTTCCCCCCCCCCCCCCCCCCCCCCCCCCCCCCCCCCCCCCCCCCCCCCCCCCAAAGTACTAAAAACTGGTTGCTGATTTAGAAGATTTTGATTCAATTCCCTGCTTTTGAGACTCTGTGTATTTGGCCTTGAGAATTCTGTTTCGGAAGCAGTGCGGTAAATTTAGATGCGAAATCTGAATCGACTCTTGTTTCCTCTAAGCATGAAATATTAGTTGGTTTCTGGTTTAGAGGATTTTGAATTTTGGTTAAATTCCCAGCTTTTGAGGCTCTGTATTTGGATTGAGAATGCTGTTTGGGAAGCGATGCTGTAAATTTTGACAAGAAATGTGAATCGACTCTTGTTTGGCTGGCTTTACTCACAGTTACAACCCAATCGAGAGAAGAGAGGGTAGCAAAGGTGGGAAAGAAGCGGGGAAGAAAGGTCCACCGGCTCATACTTCGGCTAAGGGCGGCGCTGCGGCTGCTCCCAGACCACAGTCCCACCACGGTGGTGCTCGGAGGAATGAGTTGTCTTCTTCGGTGAACTCCAGCTCTTCTTCAACCCTAAGCGTCAAGGCTTCCAGACCTCCACCGCCTGCACCAGCATATGAAGAACAGGTAATAACAAAGAAGAAGAAATAGGAGTTGCTTCTTGCTTTGAATTGAGCGTTATATGTATGTGTCCTGACATGGACTAATTGAATGATAGCAGATCACAGAGCTGAAGCTATCCGTGGATAGCCTTGAGAAGGAAAGGGATTACTACTTCGCCAAGTTGAGAGATGTGGAGCTTTTCTGCCAGAGCCCTGGTCTCGAAGGACTTCCTGTGAGAGAGAAACCTATTTTTTTCCCCCAATCTCTCTATCTCTGTGATGATTGTATTTCAGAACCCATTTTCAAATCTCTAACCCATGTGTGTCTACCTTGCATATGCAGGTTATTGCTGCAATTCAGCAGATACTGTATGCTGCAGACAACGACGGGTCCGCGGTGGCAGAGGCTCGGGCTATGATCTCCTTGAACTGTCAGCAGGAGAATGAGGAAGCAGAGCTATTGAGTCCCATCCCTGAGGTGTTATCATCAGAGGAGAAGATGGTGAACCCAGATTCCCAGAAGAGGAAGAGCATTAGAAACCTGGATGTGGAGGCTGCTGGGATCAATAACTTGTCTCCTAGGCAAAGGTTCCCAGATGCTACCGATGTCCATTGCAGCGGGTCACCTCTTATGACCTACTGATCTGTGATTCGCTCTGCAGCTAGGGTGTAACGATTCCGCTTTAACATTTCCTTTTGGCTGTGTTTGTCTTTACGGTTTCAAGGATCTTCTTCTTCTTCGTCTTCTTCTATCTCGGTTGTGTTACTACGACTGCAACAGCTACATAATGTAGGTTTTTGATCAACCAGAAGTAATGCTTATATCAACCAGAAAAATTGAGTGGACCAAGATATGTTTGTTGTTGTTGATGTGACTTGAATCGGACTATCAGCCGTTACGACTATCAGCCCGTGGACGTAGCTAACACACATCGTGTTAGTGAACCACGTAAATCGTGTGTCTGTGTTTTTCGATTCTCGCTTTCGTATTGTCGCTTTATCGATTCCTGCGATTTCCCGATCGTAGCATCGCGTTTATAACAGTTGTGGTGACAAGTGGATTGGTTTGCATGATAGCAGCAGGATGGGAGGGGAGAACCACAAGCAGCGCCCTCGCCCTCATCTTCAGCCCAAGTTTTCCGGTCAAAGAGTGGTCTCTAAGTCTCGAACTTATTCCTAACCCTCCTCAGAAACAGAGAAATAATCGTGAAAAAGAAAAGGAAAGACAAGAAGTCTCAATCAATAAAAATTCAACCCATTTCATCACCATGAGTTCCAACACAATGAAGGTACGAACAAATCAGGCTACTTTAGATCATGGAATATGATTTACACCATTGGTTTGGTTAGATAAATAGTAACGAATTTTAGACGCAGGCGGAAACAAAGACGAGCACGGTGGATTACCGGTCGTCGGCAGGGCAAGGACAAGGACAAGAGCAGAGGAAAGTGGAGGTGACCCATCATCATCATCCTTCTCCTCAGCCAAAATCCAAAACGAGTGGCGGCGTTTTGGCCTCCGCCGCGGATTCTGTGGCGGGCACGCTCCAATCTGCTAAGGAAGCCATCGCCGGAACAACAACGACAACATCTTCTTCTGACCAATCCAAATAAAAATATGTATTTTTAAATTTGGCCTAAGTTGATATCGTTGTTTACTTTAGTACCGCTCTGCCACTTTTTCTGTTTAATTTGACAAGAAAAACAATAGGCTGTGGTTCCAAGCCGAATAATGAGGTTCCATTTTTTCGACTTTGTGCCATAAATTCTTTGTTTTATTTAGGATTCAAAAACATTTGTTATGTTTTGAAATTGTCCATATTTTCACTTTGCCTCTCTTTCAGCAACATTTTCCATCCGAGGTAGCCAAGTTGCTAACTCTCTTCTAGAAAATGTGAAAACCCAAGATGTGTTCAAGTTTAGACGATTTTTATATTTATTATTTTTTATGAAAAAGAAGGTTGATGTTTTTGGATGACATCTCGTAACAATATGACTAATGTCCACCATGGACCTATTCTCAATCTTACGTTTTTCTCGACTAATAATTAATTGGTTTACTAAGAGAATGTACAACGCGCCAAAGTAGTTATTTTCGATCTTGTTGATTGGGGTTTGATCAGTTAAGTACATTAAGACTCTAGTTGGTTACTGGTTACTTTGAGACTAGGGATGACAATTTTGCTTATACACATGAGCATTTTACTATCAAACCTAGTTTTTGGCTATGAAATCAAATATATGGTAAATGAGTAGAGATTGATGGGTTTGTACCCATACTCATTTATTTGAGTTGGATTGGGTTTTTATTCCATGAATTTGGGTTTGTACTTATATTCATTTGCAACTTAGTAGATCTTTAGATTTAGTACATAATTTTTTTTTTTGCATATAAGTCTTCAAAATATCGATGAAAAATAACATTGTAGTACCTAAACTTTTTTGTGTTTTACATTTTAATACATAAACTTTTTAAGTTTTACAAATAGATCCAATTTTTGTATATGTAGTTAAAACACCTCAAGTAAACTGGTATCCAGACCCATTTAGATTATGGAAGCAATATCAATACTCAACCCAAACCCATCTATAAACTCCCAAACCCATAGATACTTCACCCATACTCTACCGATAATCAAGGAGTCTACTTGGATTTGAGTAAAATTATTCATGGATGGGTAATTGTCATCCCTATTAGAAATGTCTCGTCAAATTTTGCTTATGTCTTTAGGAAGAAGGTGAAGAGCTCTACTCTGCCAGGAAGTCTTGTTTGTTTGTAATTAGCGGCTATTAAGCTCGACCACATACAAATGAGTCACAAATATTAGAAACAGGTAAACTAGAACTGTAACTAGCAGCACCTCCTCCTTCACGAGTTATGCAAAATTTACCCTATAACACCTGTCTCCACTTTACAACTGACTTCTTTTTGGCATATTTACTCTCAAACTTGTTGAATTGAAAAATGTTGCAGGAGTCTGCCTAACTGCCCCTATGCGTTAACATTACTTCTGAATTGAAACCAAGGCCTTAATCTACGAAGCTTCCTCTACAACCAAGGCCTTAACTTACTCTCAACTTTTTGGTCCTGTAATTTGTTCACCCAGAAATTTGTACATCCAATAGATCATGATGAACTCGTCCCTTCTGTGCAAACCTTTTCAAAAACGAATTAAAAACGAAGAAGATACCATATGGTATGCAGTTGGTACCGAGAGGCCATAATTTTTTTTTCTCAAAAAATATTGAAAATTGATCTCATTTTTGAGAGCACGATGAACTCGTTCCATCTGTGAAAAAAAAAATTAAAATCCGAGTTAAAACAAAAAAGATATGAGTCAATTAAGAAAACTAGAAAAAATAAAAATGATCTTTAATTCTCCATCCTTAAATCTGAATTTTCTAAATAAAGGGTCCAGATTTGGTTATTGATGAGTGCATAACCCATGGTTATGAACCCTATCTTGAGCCGAGTGAAAAGAGACAATTGAGAAAGATGAGGTGTCTAGAAAATTGGAATTGGAAGATCAACAAAGGTTGCATTTTTTTTTGTTATTGTAAATATTAAGCAAAATACACCCGGATACCCATAATTATCAAGTTTGTGACAATAATAGTTCAAAATTTGAAAAATACATAGATATAGCAACTTTTTTTTAAACTTATTTGACAAATCTAGCCATTTCCGTTCAAAACTTTAACGTCGTTAGTGACTCCGTTAATAACACGAACGTTACGCTGACGTGGATGCTATTTGAACGACACGTCATCTCAACCTACACAAACCATGCCACCTGTACGCCATGTCATATTAAAAATATTTATTTTTTGAGAAAATATTTTTTTTATTTTATTCTCTTGCTTCCCCGCTCAGGCTCTGCGCAAGCGCAAGCGCAACCGCTCATCTTCTCTGCTCACCTTCTCCGCTTCCTTGTCCGCTCACTCCCTCCGGCGACTCTTTAATCCATCCACATTCTTCCTCTCGCGCACCAAAACAGGCATGGTTATCTCCCATCTTCTTCTCTCGATCACCGTATTCCTCCGCCACCGATGTCCGTCGGCAACGTAGATCTATCCCGCAATCTTCTGCTTCATATTCTATCGCCCATCCAATTGTTCTATCTACCTCGTTTCCCCTCCCCCTCTAAACCCTGATTTTCCCCCGCTGAGCTCCCTTATTCCTTTCGTGTTGGGCGGTCGTCGCACAATTTTTTTGAACTCCCTCAATAATTCTATGGGAAATGGCTGCTGGGTAAACAAATCCCCTTCCATTTCCTTCTTCTATCCGTTGATGGACTGGTTATTGCAAGAGGATGGTTGGGGAAATAAAGAAAGGGGTTGTTGAGGTTGATTTCGGAGGTAGGGTTTATGTGGATATAATTGTTGGGGGAATTGCTGGGATCCATATAATTGTTGGGGGAATTGATTAAGCCTGTGAAGTTGGAAGTCTGGTGGTGAGAAGTAGACAAGAAAGAAGAAGAAGAAGAGAGGAAATCAGAAGGCGGAAGGAAGAAGACGGGTTGTGTGAATTTTTTATTTGATTTTTGGGTTTCTGATTAGGTCACACAATTCGCCAAACCAGGGTCAGCGCTCCAGCTTTAGAGCGCCAAAACGCGAATTAGAGGAAATTCTTCCAAAATTCGCGAATTTTTATTTGCAGGAGCGCGAATTTTGGTGGAAAATTCGTGAATTTATTTCACAGAAACAGAGGAGAAGAGAAAGTAGCGGGTGATGACAATCGATTTGAAGAAGGAGATGTAATCGCTGGCTAGTTGATAGAGGATGCCGAAGTCTGCATCTGCAAGAGAATCTTTCAATTGGAAGATTTTGAACTTTGTGGAGAACGATTTCTCAGTTTGGATCAATGATTTCAAACACTGCATGTACCGGTGGAGCTCGCCTGGGTTTAGAAGACTGGTAGGTTGTAGGGTGAAAAGGGAGATTTGTCGATGGGAGGCTGATGTAGTCTGTGGATCGACAGGATTTAAGCTCTGTAGAGTGAAATTTTAGGTAATAGTATGATCGTCTTTAGAAACGAGAAAGGATGGATGGAGCAGGGGGATGAGTCGGCGACTTTGATCTAGGTCTCAACTTGGCAGAGTTTCGATTAGGGTTTCTCAACAGCCCAGTTTGGGCTCAATCACTTAGTTGGGCCACAGACTCTTTTATCCGCTAGTTTCCCTGCGCAATGCAAGATATGCCAGTGTTGTGCATAATCAAATAGGCAATTTATAATTTTTGTTCTGCGTATTTAATTTGGCTTTACCATTTTAAGTAATTAGAGATATTAGCTATTAAATTGGTGATGCTTTTTGTTTGACTTATTTAGGATGTAACCACAAAACTTTTGAATTAGTGTAATTTTTCCTACGAGGTGTGGGAGTAATTTGGCATAATTTTATATCATTTTAAATAATATTATAATTAAAATAATATAATATTAACACTCTATCAACGCTCTGAATTTATAATTCTTCATAGATAGACGCTTTCACGCTCTCGCTCTCGCTTTCGCTCCACGAATCGGTAAGCTAAGTTTCTGATGGTCGTGAAAAGGGAGTAGGTTAGCCATTGAATGGAGTAGGAGGTTTAGAGACGATGGCCATTAAATTTTTTATTTAGTTTTTTTTTGTTGTAAATCCAAGGTGGCAAGTCAAGATAGAAAATTTGCCACGTCATACAAGAACGTTTGTCCAGTCAGCGTTTGTCACATTGCCGATTAAGTTATGGACAGAATGACTATTTTACTGTATTTTTCAAAATTTGGCTATTATTGTCACAAAGCGTAAAGTTATGGCTATCCAAGTGTATTTTGCCTAAATATTATTGTAAATATTTATTTTTTAATTTATTGTGAGAATGAGTTGAAAATTTTAAAAGATTAAAATATTATTTTTTATTATTTTTTAATTACCACGTCACTTATTTAACGGAGAGTGACCAAACTTGAACTATTGAACTAATTTAAGTGACTATGGATGGAATAAATTAACTTTAGTGGTAAAGGTGAAATTTTGAGTAATTCCAGTGACCAAACTTGCAATTTACCCTACATATAATATATGGTTCATGCATACGCTAACTTTATCCTACTTTTATCAAGGTTTGTTATTTACAACTTGAATTAACCAGATTTTGGACATAATATTATACATAGCCACCAAACAACTAAGGAAATATTTCCGTCACTATATGGGAGAATCATAGTAAATTTTGACGATATGGTTATGACTGAAAATGCACCTCTCATCTTGGTAATTTCATCATTTATGTTGAAAAATATAGAGCACACAATGACATAAGAATTTCAGCCCGTCATCGACCACAAAAATATATGACAACATGGATATTCCATAAACACAAGTAGGAAACAACATTAAAAAAACAAAACGATCCCAATAGAAATCCGAAGATCAAATGGTCTATATTAGTTGAGGAGGAAGCACCATATGAGTTTCCAAAAGTTACTATGCAACAACTGCAGGCTCTTAGTTAGAAGATCGAGAATAAAGTATGTATTCCTATTGCTTGAGTTTTGGTATCCACCCCTTTCACTAGTGGATCGACTTTGGTCTTTGCCCTGCCCAACAATAAACTTGCTTGAATCTCCCACCAGCTTGCTAGTAGCCTGATTTTGATTCCTGTTTATGCCACATAACCCGACGTCCCCGATGGTCAATGCGCCCCTCCTTTTCCTAGCTTGCTCCTACCGCGGGCCTCGTTCCTGCACACGAAGGCGCCCACCGAACCCCTTACTTAGGGCTCGTTAGCACTCCGACGCCCAAGTTAGAACAGTCTTTCTAGAGAGAGAAGTGAAGTGTAGTTTTAAAGAGAAGTTCCAACCTGAGTAAATGAGCTCCACCCACTTCGCTATTTATACTCGGGGTAGGGCCGACCATTGCCCCCCAAATCCGCCCTACGTCATCGTGCCATTAAATGCACTATACTTCTACTTGCCAGGCGCACTGGCACTCTGACACATTCTCCCGGGTCCTGAGGCGCCCGACCCCACTTCTTGTCCCCTCCGTACGCTCCTGGCCGTTGCCCCCTTGCTTGTCGCTATGCGCCCCCTCTAGGCTGGGACCCACTGCTCAGGTCACAGTCCTGGGCCTTCCCTTTGATAGACCCAAACTCCCCACCTTCTGGCCCCTTTGGGCTTCCCTCTTGGGCCCTTAATTGCCCCTAACAATTGCCCCCAGTTAGGCGTCCGCCGTTCGGCGGGGGCCTAACTTCCCCCAGGGCGCAGTGAAGGTCCTCATGCACGCCTTCCTTCCCTTCTTTCGGGAGCGCGCGCTTCCTTTATGGTTTACTCCGGCCACGCGCACCCTTCCGCGGTTCTCTCCCGCGCCTCGACATCCCTCACTCTCGCCGATCAGACGCCGCGCCTCCTTTCTTTTGTTCACCTCCCCTCTTTACTTTTCCTCACCCCTCTCTCTTTCTTTTTCGTAATTTATTTCCCCTTTTTCTTTATTGCAGGTAGGCCATTGGGCTTCCGCCTCGATCTTCGGGATCACTCTCCCTCCCCCCTAGTCTGAAAGGAAATTCAAATTTCGAAATTTGAAATTTCCTTTAGACTATGCAACCGTTCGCCTCCCCGCGGTCTCCCATCCTCTTTCCCGCTCTCCTCCCCTATATATTGCTCCCTCCTTCTTCTCCTCTCCTCACTCTCGCTAAACCCTTATCTCTCTAGCTTCTCTCTCTAAGTTTCACTGCTCGCCATCCTCTCGCTAATCGCGACTGGGCGCCTTTCGCTGCTGTGAGATTTCCTCTCCCACCACCTACGCGCCTTTCATCATGGCCTCCTCCAACCCTGCGCCTTCCGACGCTCCAGCCGCCGCCTCAGTTACTCCCCATTTTTTGTTTTACAAATTGCAAAACGCTCTTTTATTTACACGCTGATGACTCGGTATTTGCACATGTTTTCCCCTTTGTTTCTTGATTGTTTGAGCTTGAATTATCGTGTCTTTGGCCTATTTTACGCTAGGTTGTGTTCCTTTGTCACATTTCAGGTCCTAGCACATAAAGTGAAGCATAGGCGCAAGTTTCAAGTCAATCAGAGATCAATTGACGATTCGGGAGAAGAAACTCAGGTATGACCTGAAGAAGAATGGATTTCTACCTCAGTTTATGGACAAATAATCATGCAAGCTTGTCATGAAAAGAAACAGGACGAGACTACGAGCGTCTGGGATCAAACGGCGCCTGATTCGGAGTCCGGACGAGGGAGAAACGAAGCATTAAACAGAGGCTGAGCAAGCCACACGGGCACAACCCACACGGCCGTGTGACCTGGCCATGTGGCCGTGTGGAAATCACCGAGCCTTCACACGGGCAGCTGGGAAAGCCACACGGCCGTGTGAGTCGGGAATTGCTGTTTAAAACCCAATTTTCAGCAAAAGGAAAGGGGCAGAGCTGGGTTTTGGATCCCAAACACCCAAGGGACGAACCCTAAAGAGAGAGAGCGACTTGGGAACATTCTTGGAGCTATTTTGGAGGATTTCTTCGCCATTGGAGCTCGGGAATCAAGCTTGGAGATGGATATTGAAGATCTAGATCAGATTTCTGCAGTCTCTCTCTTCTCTATGGAGTAACTTCCCTTCACTTAGGTTTTGAGGAACCCTAGTTCCATGAGTTAGGATCTTTCTTGTATGAAGTTTTGGATGCTATATTGTTTGATTTGAATCGAATGATGCATGTTTATTGAGTCAATTGAAGTCTGATAAACTTTTCCTGATTTCTGCTGCAACCTGAGATAGATAGAATCTGATTAGGTTGTTAGAGCCTCATCATTCGGTAGTAGGAGATTGGCTATACGAGAGTTAGCCAATTTAATGCTTTGTACTGGAATCCAATTCCAGTAGTGGAGTTTTGTGCTTATTGCTTCAGCTTTCTATCCCGGTGAAGACTAGTCATCTGCCGGATAGTTAGACTGAGAGGGCTTGGTTAGCTTAAGAGATTCCAAGCTACTGTCGGATCTTCCGCAGTTTAATCAACAGTAAAACAACCAAAAGGAATTACAACTTGGACCTAATTGAGGAGCTAGGGGGAATCATACCTAAGTGAGTTCCCAAACTGTAATTAGTAGTTTTACTTAGTTTAGTTAGTAGAGTAGTTTAGTTTAGTTAATCAATCCTTAATCTAGTTTTCTAGATAATGAACTGAAGCTGAGTAATAGTAACTCTAGAGACCCGTGGATTCGATATTTATTACTTGTGCCACTATACTGCAGTCCCTTTCATTGGTTACACTTGGCCATTGTTAGGTGTTGTGTTTTAGAACATCACACGCCTTATGCTTGCAAGTCGCGCTCCGCGGGGATTGAGGGAAAAGAACCACTCTTACCTTACTCTATTCGTAAGCGCCCCCCGCTTCTTACTTGAGCACCCCTTTTCCTAAAGTATTCCCCCTTGAGCGCATTTCTTGACATCCTTCTCTTCTTCTGACTTAGGCACCGACGCGCCTCGAGACTTCGGGATAAGCCAATGGGGCAACATGTGGTCGCCTGGGTATATGCCCACCGACATTGACCAGATGTCCGAGGCAGACGCCGGACCCCCGCACACGTCCAAGATCTTATATTCCCGCTTTTCAAAATTAATCCGGGCGGCGCAGATGCCCGCAGACTGGCGCTACTCTCACCCATCTCCCATCGCGCGCGTGGGGGTCTGTGGAGAAGGTTGGGTCGGCATGTACCAAGAGTATGCCCGCTTTGGGCTCCGCTCTTCACCATTGGTCAAATCCTCGTACCCTGCCACCCGATACGTGGGAAAGCGCACTTCCACCGGGATAATTGCCTCGCTACCATAAGTCAAGGCAAACGGCGTCTCCCCTGTCGCCACCTTGTGTGTTGCCCTATGCGCCCATAGCACCCCTGGGAGTTCTTTGACCCATCTCCCCTTGGCTTCTAGCAACCTCGTATGAAGTCCATGCAGGATGCTCTTGTTAGCCGCCTCCGCCTGCCCATTAGCCTGAGGGTAGGCCACAGAAGAGAAGCGTAAGACAACGCCACTTTCGTCGCAGAACTCGATGAATTGGCGGCAATCGAACTGCTTACCATGGTCTGCTACGATTGATTCAGGTAGCCCGAACCGAGAGAATATGTTCCTCGTCGTAAAATTTCTGACTTGAGCTTGGGTGATGGTTGCTAAGGGTTCCGCCTCCACCCACTTTGAGAAGTAGTCCACTGCCACAATTAGGTACTTCATCTGCCCCGGCGCCTTAGGGAAGGGCCCTA